TGATCATGGAAAAAAACATCTCTTTCCACTGAGTAAAATCTTTTTTACCCTATACTGAAAACGAATGCATGGAGCTTTCCTATGATCTGCAGGTGCTGCTGTAGAGTAGAATTTCAATGATGTGGTCAATCAGTTGATAGGAGAAAGGCAACAACTTTTGTTGATCAGTTTTATGTAAAATGTATTTTTCTATCTTGTTATAATTTACGGAGAAATGTTTTTGCTAACAATTTAGCTTGTAGCATATTAATTACAAAATACATCTCTCACAGCTAACACAAACATACAATAATATGCTAATATTATTGTATGTTTTAGTTGTACACCTCTTTGGACAATAACTGTTCATTTATTTTACCTCAATTACTTTTCTACTAGGAAGCCTCCCAGCCAGATTCAAAAATATCATTATTTATAAAAGATAAAATAAATAAAAATAATTCTCACAGATAGGAGGCGCTCCATATTGCAGTAATCTTCCCCCAGCTTGTAATATCATTTCCTCAGTGTGATTTTATGGAGTCAGCAGGAGCTCACAGTTTGTCAGCATGAACTGGCGCAGACGGGGAGGAGAAGGGGAGGTGAAGGAGTAAGCACACAGGTATGTTTTATTGATTAAGCACAGGGTGTGAGATAGGCCTAGAACATGTGAATGAATAATACAGTGATGGCGGTGGCAGGGGTGTAGGGGTGATGTGATGTTTTGTGGGCGTCACATGTGCTGAAGCAGCAGGGTGAAGTCGAGTGCCATTGCATGAGCGGGGTGAGATGCTGCGGTTTGGAGAAGGTAATGGGGTCAAAGGTGACACACTTTGGTGTGAAAGTGTCTTTTATCATCTCACATTCCAGGTTAATATTTTTTTATCACTTTTGACATATTCCATTTTAACCTTTCCCACAGGATCATGAGACCATAGGTGTGTGGCCCCTTACCTTCTGTGTGAACCCACCCTCGTGTGTGAGACATGAAAAGCAGAAGTAACAAGAACCATTTTGTCTCTTAGTGAAGATCCATTCAATTATCCAGCCACAATTCGGACTCTTCCAGTGTTCTCCCTAAAGCTTTTGTGATTTTGAAAGTTTAATCTTCACTGACGTCTTCCCGATCGTTCCATTTCCACTGCTCCATAAATAATTTCCACTGTGTTCTGAAGGTCACATCAGCCAGTGGTATTTAAGCCTCATTTTTACCGCCAGAGGCTGGTTTTCTTTTTTATACCTGGGACCACATTAGCAGAGCTGTTATGAACAGCCGCGTGTATTCAGTGTAAACTCAACTGCGTTTCCTCTGTTGTTGTGCAGTGAGTTTTTTTTTATTTGTTTGTTTGAATTAGTTCTTGCTTCTGCTGTAGGCCTGTGGCTGAGGATTGTCCTTTTCATTTATTGTTTTCATTTGTTCTCTCACATTGCCACCGCTGTGAAGCCATTTGAGACTGAACACGTTCAAGCGCTGCACAAATAAACTTGACTTATTTCCTAATAAGAACATCTGAAGCATTGCATGGAGACAAAAGTGCAAAGGTCCAGAGTTTATGTCTGGACAAAGAGTGGATCGGTAAAAACGTTGTATTTAGTTGAATATCTTCGAGATGTGAAAATGAGCCGTCATCTGTTCTGGATCACTGTTTTTATTTGTTCAGACAAATGCAAAAAAAAACCAAAAAAAAAAACAGCGTAACTACAGCCGGCGCCATTTCTAAAATTAGAAATGGATTCTAACGTTGAAGAATAAGGCCAGCTGTGACCTTTCATATACGTGTAGGTGATAAATACTTCATAAAGTGAAACATTATTACATGATTGATGATGTGTGAGTCTCCACACAACTCTTGCCCAGATGGCATCCAAGTCCAACTGGGACAAAATGTGCTAATGAACATTCCTGCAAACCACAGCAAACAGTCTGACTGTGTGACAGCTACATTTTGAGCTGACGTTGTTGTCATGTACTCTGGAGACAACACTCACATGGAAGTGAAGGAATTTGGTGTTAGTGAGCCACAAAGCAACACGTTTGTGGGAGAGAGCTGAAAAAAAAAGTTTCAAACTAAAGCTGTTTGCAGTATTGCTGTATTGCTGTTATCACAGCATGGGACTAAGAAACACATCCTGTAATTAGGATAAAAGTCTATTCTTTTTGTACATTGTTGAGTACAAAAGTTCATGCTCAGGAAGTTTTGAAAATGTATAATTTGTCAAAGTAATTTGGCCTAGTGTTTCTTTTGTCAAAGTACAGAGAAAATGCTTTCAGTGTTTTAACATTATTTCTGTCTATTGAATGTTATCTTCTTTATCAATTTAAAAATGATCGGACTCTCCTCTCGGACAAAAAGGACTACAGTTTACATCCAAATGTTACTCTTTTGGTTATTGAAATTATTGCCTGTATTAATGTGCAGATTTTCATTTTTTTAACTGGTGCAATGGTGATTCACACCTGTATACTGACTTTGCTCTGTGAGGAGCTAACATCGTACATGTGTGACTCGGTGTGTCCTGCTGCTTCCCACAGTCCAATGACATGACACTGTCTTGCTCTGTGATTAACGACTGACCTGTCCCTGCCTCTCTGTCACCTGCTGTGTGCTGAGATTGGATGTATTGCTCTGTTGCTGACATGCAGGAACCTCAAGTACCAGGGTCAGATGTTATCTGCCCTTGGGTTTTTCAGTATACGCTGTTGATATTCTTTCAAAAAGGTGCTTTTCAGATAAATGAGTGGAAAAGGTCCAGTCATGTTTTCAAAGACAAAGATGAAGAGAATGTTATTTCAATTTAGTATAAATGCCAACCAGAAGTCAAATGTACAAAAACAGATAAAGCCAAGAAATAACTAGCAGCTAGTCAATTCAAAGGTAGTAATAAGATAATTAAATTGAAGTAATAGAACAATTTTAACCAAAAAATAAATATAAATGTGCTTGTCAATAGCTGAAGTAGTGACCCAGAAATATCTCAAACATACAGACAACATCTAGAATTTCGATCATGGAGTTTGTTCAGAGAAGGATTGATACGATGTTGGTGAACCTGTGATTGACAGATGCATTCTTTGACAAACATCAGCCACAGCCTGACAGCAGCCTGCCATTCCCTCCTCCATCACACTGTCTATCAGTTCTATAACGCCAAGAACCTGTAGAGCCTTTGAAAAGTCAAACAAACTCGAACTGCAGAACAAAACCTGGTCACCTTACTCTGGAGGTCATGTGACCTGAGCAGTCTGTCAGCAGGTGCAGTTGACAGTAGTGTTTTCAATCACATCAAACTGTCATCATCAAGGTTTGTCCCATATCTGAAGGGTTGTATAACGATGACTCAGTGTTGGAGCTTTATTAATATCATTGCCATTTCTCTCCTGAGACACGGATGTCAGTGTCACATTTGCTGCTTTTAGAAACAACTTTGTGACAATATTCAGTGGTGTCTGAGTCTAGGTCTTGTATATTAAATAGTTGGAAACCAGAGGGCAATAGAAAGTCACACTGAGGATCAATATGGGCTGACTAAGTCCATGGTTTAACATCTTAACGCCAATCAATATTCTTTTACTGTCAGATAAAAGATTCCACCCTGGTGGACATTTTCTTTTTTTTTAATTTGTCCTCTACAAACATTTACAGATTGTTTAAAACCTTCCTGTTCCTGGTGGTTTGTTTTCTTTCTGATGTTGTTGTGCGTTGTTATCTTGTGGTCTTAACAAAACAAACAGCCTAATGCTTCTGTCCTCTGTCTTTTTGTTATTTTTTATCGGTAACTCTGATTGTAATCTGCATGGGGATACGTTAACTTCTGGGCAATGACACGCTCATGTTAGCATAATGGCTACGGTGTAGTAGCTCAGGACTATGAGACTTTAGAGACTCAGTACAGTCCCCCGCTGCATCATCAAGACTGTATTATATATGAGGAAGCCTCACACCGTGCTGTAATGAAGGCATACTTTTATGTTTATGTTTAATTCAAGGGCTAGATAGATTCTTGTAATGTAAAGTGATGTCACATGTTGCAATGTTATTTGAAGTAAAAAGGATAAAAGCTCCATGTGCCAAAAAGAAAGATGTTCCAGCATTAATGTTTAGGATTGTTTGAAATTTAAAGAGACATGTTCCTTTCACAATGACTTATAGATCTTAATGGATTTTTCAGTTTTTAGTCCCAGGCCAAATTCTGCACAAATTCTGAATTTGTAGTGTTAGGTGAACTGGACTGACCTTCCATAGTCAAATCTCAGACAATGGCTGTTTCAAGGGTTTGGATTTTTGTACAGCAAAAATGCACAACAGAATTTGCTCTCAAATAAAAGCCGTGTTTTGTTGTACTGAAATATTTATGTACTCCGAGGGTTGTTTCATGTTTGGATGATATTTTTCTCTGACTGGCACTTCATTGTTGAATGTTTTTTGTACAAAATGGACATTGATTGGTTGTTTTATTTTTTTTTTTTATTCTGAGAACATCGTATCTCCTGCTGCTTTTGGGACTTTAAGCTGTAAAAAGGCTTTCCCTTGTCCTGTGGAATATTTCAATAAGAAAAGAAAAACACCTTGGAGACACGAAGAGGTCAGAGGAGGCTTCAAAGTCTGTGTTCCAGGGTAAAGTAGTCAGTACTGTATACTGTAGAGCCACAGCAGCGTGTGAATTCATAAAGCAGTTTGTTTCATTACACTGTATAAATCTAATTGATGGCTGATTAGCTCAGTGCTACAACATATTTAATGACTCCAGCATGCCTCATCACAGGGACTATATTTACAGTTTTACAACCCACTTCCTGGCAAATTTCCCTCATCACTCCTGCTTGTCATTCTGGGCGTCAGCGTAATTAACAGCAGAATCGCACATAAAACCTCTCAGTGTCTCTGGTGAGGAAGGACACGATGACGTGTGCTGTTCTCCTTTCACTTTGTCATATTCTTCCTAAATGAATAAGAACAAGTTACACAGTAGCAATGCACTAAACCAGGGCTGGTCTGTGAAAATACGACAGCAGGAACAGGTCGAAGTCGAGCCAGAACATTTAATGGAGACCATCGCAGGACACATGCACTTTAGCACTTCACACAGTGCCCACTTTTCCCATTTGTAGCTCTTATTTTTTGAGACACATACAAACCATAAAATAATTTAAAACCAAAACACTTGAAAAAAAATGGTTACTTTTTTTTTATATAGTACAAGTTCACAGAAGTTAGCTTCCAACACCAAGCAAACCATAGCAATCATCAGGTATTATTACACCGACACTGTGCTTGTTCATGATTAGAGGAGAAAAACAACTGTGAACGGAGTCACAGTGAGGGCAAGCAGTGGGAGAAAGAGTCTGTTGAGGAGGAGGTGGACGAGGAGGAGAGGAAGGAGGAGGATGATGAGTCTATCTCTCCGTGACGGAAACTATCCAATTGTGCTGAAGGTCAATGGTTAGGCGTAGAAGGTCTCCACTTTCACAGCCTGACAGAACATTGTCATGGAGAAGACCAGGCCCAGGATCTGCACAGGCAGGAGAGAAGAGTTTGGGTGTGAGAGACATCAACACATCTGAGTGAACTGTAAGGAGAGATTTTTTTTTTTAATCTCTTCACTGTTGGGTTCTTTTTAAGACTAAAACCTCATTAAATTAATTATACAAAAAATGGTTAAACAAAAAGGAACACCTTTAGACTCAGTATATATGTATATAGGTATATATATATGTACTATATATACTGTATCTCATCACTTTTGTTAGTCTGTGATCACATCTGAATTCTCATCCATCATAGACAGTTGACTGTACACCTTGAGAGCTAATTGTCACAACCAGCTGGTGACATGTGAAAAAAAAAATCTGCCAGTGTAAAAATGTGTCTCTTGTGCTTCCTATTTGATGAAAATAACTCGAAACAATGAAATATTTACATTACACCAGATTGTGTTAAAATTCCCAAAACACATGAGAGACACTGACTCTCTTGTACACGTGGACTCATTTGGATTTTCTTTGGTTCAACTCAAAAAACTTTCATTTGAACTAAATTACAAACAAAACAGAGAAACCCTGGACTGATATTAGTTAAAAGATCGAGGCTTAAAATGTGTGAAAACTCAATGAGTTTCTGACATTGTATTCTTTGTATTCTTTCATACACACCAAAACCATCATCAAGTTGATTCTCATTTACAAGGATTACAGGCAGAAAACCACAGAAGAGAAAATCTAATAAATACATGAGCCATGATATGAGAACAGAACACGGAGTAAAACTGGAAAGGATCGTAACAATAAAAAGAACGGAAGATGTCCTGATGTAATATTAAACACTGTTATATAAAACATTTGCCACTTGAAGATGGAAGATCCAAGATCAGATTCCCAGGGGGAATTTAGGAAACTTCGTTTTAGGCCGTGCTCTGTTTTATTTCATGATTCACAAAAAGAAAAGTCTATTTTTCTAAAACGGAAGAAGACAGAGACGAAAGATGTGCAGACAAGCAGATGTGTCCATCAGGTCCGTCTGTTAGCTGAATAGCTGAGCTAATGAGCTAATTAGGGATTCATAAATAAAAAAAAAGGCAAAAACTATAACTCCATTTGAAAGATGTCCGTCTGCTGGACTATTGGGAGTGTAGTGACTCTGTCTGTCCACATCAGTCTTTCCCAACACAAAAAACATGGATTGTAAGTCATTTAAAGAGCGTTGTTATTCTGTTTGTTTATTGATTTCTATTTTCTTTTTTGGGAATTTTTTTTAAAACTAAGAAATCCCAATGAAGCACTTAAATCATCCCAGTTATTAATGATTGAAATGACATGCTCAATTTGGTACATGTAAAATTAGATTATGAAAGTTAAAATTCTCAAATAAAAAAAATCACTTTAAATTAAAAATGTAGCTCTGAAAACTGAATGAGTCTTATTTTTATCATTTATGTGTTTTTATTGTGTAACCAGCTTTATTTTCCTCCAAGAAAAAAAAAAACAACACCAAAGTAACATGATAGCTGTAAAACAGTAAATCATAGCAGGTCTCACTTCTTCTTTACATTATAATTTTCCCTTGGAACTCATCTTTATCCTTATCCTGTTCTTTACCTCTTTTGTCCCTCTCTCCATACCTTTGACAGACTTATGTCCAATACATGAGCTGTAACTTTCCACAGTGTCTTTTTAATCCACACTCATGTATTCTGTTTGGTTTCTAATGACCTTCAACAATCTCCTCTTCAGTGCCGACCTGCTCTCTATTCTAACAACAAACATTTGTCTATTCATCTCGGTTAATGAATTATTTGGATGGAATTTCACATTGACACTGCTGTTGTTTTTTTGGTCTGAGTCAATTTTACTGCATCGCTCGTCTCCTACATTTTACCCAGACTTTGGCCCCTTTGCAACACTGTTTTGCCGGTGAACAATGTTGGTGAGAGAAAAGGAACAGTGGTGAAAAACAAAATCTCCACAAGGTCAATGTTTCTACCTGCAGGAGAAATGAAAACTATTTTCTTCTGTGCTAAATATTTAATTGTCTTCGCCTGAACATCAGTTCTGATTTTATAAACCTCTGCGTTTTCTATCTGCCTCAAACATCAGAGACATTTGAGACACGTGTGGCAGTGATTACATCTTCCTCCAGGTTTTTATTGTTTGAGATGAAGGATTTTCCAGTAGGAGAAAGAGAATCTTAACTCCTGACAAAAAAAGAGCGTCTGCATCATCCACGGGAGCCTGGGGTGATTGATGTTTCTGAGATGTATTGTCAGATTGTGGAAACACATCACGTTCACCCTGACTGCAGAGCAAATAAAAACCACACTATGTGGTCCTCGGTGATGACACACGTAGTTTATGGAGGCCCCTGATGCCTGCTTTACTCCCACACTTTGCCCACAGGACACTGGAAGACTTAGCTCTATCTGTAACAAAGTAAGAGCTCCTGAATGTGAGGATGTAGATATCACATTCTGGGTAAATGACTGCTGGAATTAGACAAAAAAAAAACAAAAAAAACAACCCTCTATATTCCCGCTCAGACTGGGGAATCTCAGTAGCCGTCAAGATCACTATAAATTATTTGGTGTGACACTGATGGAATGAACTCGGCTGCAGCATTCAATAACATCTATGCAGGATGTGCAACTTTGACAATTTCTATATCAAAGGCTCCAACTGTACAAGTTAAGAAGGGAATGAGGATTAGGAGTCACAACCACTAACAGAGGATCTGTCTAAATATGGAAGATGAAAAAAAAGGTAAATATAAAGACATGAAAAACTGATGAGATAAAATGAAAAAATAAAAAAAAGTATTATTTTAATCATTCATTCATCCTTCGTCTTGGAAACCTGGACAACCTGCTGTGATTCTCTGTTAATCAGTCTCACTGGTCTCACCTGGTACTTCTCTTTTTCACACTGTCCTTGTTGCTTCATTGTTTTGTTTTACGGCCTATATATACTGTACCTGTTGGTCTTTTGTCATTGTCTGTGAAAACATTCCCAGTCTGTTCCCCAGTGCTTCCCATTGTGCTTTTCCTTGTTTTTTTTTTCCTGAATTTGTTCCTGAATTCCCTGAGTTAGGACTCATGTTGTTGTTTTTTTGTGTGTGCATGATTTGAGTTTGGACTTCTGCACCAGATCCATTTGTGTTGCAATGAGTTCTGCCTGCTTCCACTGTATGTAACAATATACTCATATCTTTTAATTCAATATTTTTGACATTTTATGTTATCGCAAAATAAGACCTTCTGTCATTGCTTATTTCTTTTTATCATACCCTTTTTTAAACCAACAGTTGTACGGATTCAGTTATAATACTTTTTATAAATACTTTTCTGATGCATTATATTTATGCCTTTTCATTCCAACTTTATACATTATTTCTGACCTAATTTCAAAACGTGTGGTCACCTGAGTAAGAGCTGTGCATAGAGCGAAGATCCACAGAGCCACCAGGTTCTCATTGAGCCAGTCCTTTACGCGCTCGTAGCATGGCTGCGGAGACACAGACGGACAGTTAATGGACAACAAAACCCTTTAATTTAGTTCTTTATACTTTAAAAAAGCAGATCTCTGTCTTGAAGGGTACACATTTAAAAACTCCAAACAAAAAACTTAAATAACAGTTATTAGCAGTTTGCCTAAGAGCCACATTTCTTCCAGTAAATTTTCAAACAGCCCTTCGGGCAGAATTCAGAACGGAGATAATGATCACTGAGAGGTGAAAAAGGAATGATGGGTCAAACAATCAAGTATGTAATTAAAATTGATGAACGTTGGAGGATAAGGACAATCACTCAAACACAGTCGGGTTGATGTGATAAGTCACCTTGAGGAGAAACATTTAACATCCGGTACTTCAAATGTTCAGACACGTGTTTGGAAAAACAGTCAGATATTCAGTCCGTATTCCAGGAGAGGAAAACATTTTTTTAACCAGTCTGCAGTTGTGATTACATTATTCATTTCTGCAGACATTCCTTCATTCCTGTCTGTAAAATGTATGTATTTTAAAATATTGCATGTAAATCTGAGTCACGAACAGGGAAGGAAAACACACTCTGCAATTCACCCCTGCTTCGGGCCAAGAAAAATATATTTTCCTTTACCTGAGGTGAAATAATTCAGGTTAGGATCAATATCAGCACCATCTGGCCAGAATTTACTCACTGCCTCAGTGAGGTTTGTCAAACTGGAGCCCAGCTGCAGTCTTTCTACACCACATATGGGCAAAATGGAAATGTTCTATATCTGTTAATTTTTCTTCTTCTTTTTACATTATCTATGACAATTGGCTCAGGGCTGTGTGGACAACTGCAGTTAACACTCCTGAGTAAAGTTGTGATGTGGTCGAGCAAAAGAAAAAAAAAATCCCGGGAAAATTCAAGTTGTGTTTGAAAAAGACTTTTCACAGGCAGCCTGTGCACCACAAACCTCCTTTACAGTTTCATGCATCTCTCTTTAAGGAAGTAAACAGAGTGAGAAGGGTCTCTGCAGTCACACACCACAGTAGAATTAGCCAGTGATGCCTCCAATGTCATAGGATTAAAATGAAATTTTCATCACACAAGCTATACCGCTGCAAAAATATGTCAGTCATTTAAATAAATGAATGTATATGAACATTTTTTCAAAAATGCAACAGAATGGAAATGCTGAAAACATTACCATACACAATCAGAATTTTTGTAGCAGTTTGACGTAGTGCACTGTGACTTCTAATATTATGACCCACACAGACAGTGCATATGAAGTACAGTCTGGCTGAATATTGTTTATTTTTAAATGATACTAACTCACATGTGACTCAGGAGCAACAGACAGTTCACCAGTCCATCTCACAGCAACCTACAGATCAACAACCATTCAGTTTGTTTATTAGTTTATTGATGATAACACATAATACATATGTAGTTTTAAGGAGAAAAAAACACTCTTGGCTTGACCTTCACTCAGGGGTCACCACAGCAGAAGCCTGCAGAGTGACTGGCACAGGTGGAAGCCATTACTGACACAAGCCAACAACTCTAAATGGAACACTTATTACTGCAATTGTTGTAAACTGTTTCGATTTGAATCCTGACTGGTCTTGGACAGTGGGGGGGCCAGAGTACTGGGGGAAAATACACACAAAAGGGGGAAGAAAAAACCTCCACACAGAAATAAAATTATTTTTCGCAGCTGATTTCTTTGCCCTAAACTTCAAACCGCACTGCTACGTACCTTGTTGCTTAAAATATTTATAGCTGAGCAACATAAATAATCAGCCGACAGCTAATTTGACCTTACGACCCCTGGTTTAAAATATAGCTATTCCCCCTTTTTAAATACATTTCCTGTGAAGGTTACCTCCTCGATATAATGAAAGACCAGACACTTATACAACAGAATCACATCACTGTCACATTAGTAGCAATTTAATGGCCGTTCTCAGTCAGTTGTTGGTGTCATCAAGACGAAGTTCTTTTAAGAGCCGTACTTACAGAGACTGAAACATTAATATGTGTGTGTGTGTGTGTGTGTGTGTGTGTGTACATATCACGAAAACTTTCTTTAATCATTCCCAGTTCCTGAAGTCAAGAACATCCAGCTGCCAACATCAAAAGTCCTTCTTCTTCATCTGCCAGCAGCCCTCGTTGCACCTCTAATGGTTATGAAAGAGCTGCATATGATGAAAATTAATATAAGATATTTACATGTCAGCAGAAAAATCACACCCTGAGCTCTTCATTGGCCTCGGCTACTTTGTTTAACCTGTAGTCTGCAGCAGTTCATTATGTCATGTTAAAGGTTGTCCTTTAATTCTGAAAACTAATAAATGTAATGCAGCGGTTTGCCAGTTTGTGGCTGTGGACATGAAGGGAATAAAGTTGCTTTGCATGTTTTTAATATTTTAAATGTATATTTTGTATTGAAGATTTTTCACTCGTTTGAGGTGAAAAAATTCATTAAAAGACATTTTGTAACATACATATAGGGTAATAACCTGTACGTACAGGTAAACGACATTTGTGAACGTTTTGTTAATTTTTTTTTACCATATTTCACACCCTACGATGCATCCTAAAGGGTTCGTAAAGGGTTAATATATACATAAATAACTAAGTAACTAGATTTTTTGTGTGGTCTTGGATTGTAATCCCTGTGATAGACAAAGACCACTGTACACATCTTAGCAAAACTAAAATTTTTCATGCCTTAGAAAACGTCCTCATTGTAATTTGAATAGTAGATGGTATAAATTGAATTTAGTGGAATTTTAATCGTACATTTTTGTGCATTTGCAGAGAAATGGACTTTGTTTACATAAATCCATGATGCTCATGTCATGGTACTAAACAGACCACAAACAGAAAACGCAGTGTGTTTTTCCAGCTGCAGCCTTCAAATTGTAGAAATAACTTGGATGTTTAATGCGTTGTACACCTTTCAGAAATATTGTTTTGCACACAGAATTAAAAACATCCATCAAATTGTTGTCTGGGGTTGAGTAAACCATCCGCCCTCTTTGTACAGGTGACATCTGGCACTTTGATGTGATTTCTGAATATCCCATTTTGTCGCAACAACTTAATAACAGCAGGAGCTCAGTGGAAATCAATGCTATTATGGTTCATCATCTTCTCTCATTGAGATGCGCAGTCAATGCTTCAGCCCAGCTGGATAACAGATGTACGGCCGCTGTGTTAAGTGGACGAGAAGTGGTCCTTTTAGCCCCTAATGTGTTTGTTAACACAGAAACTTTTAATTTTGAGCATGACTGCAATCGTATTCTAACTTTTCTTTTTTTTTTTTTTTTACATATATCAAGCATCACACTGAAAATCACCTTAGTGAATGTTTGTTTGCAGACATTCTGATGGTAATTCAGAACTAACTGAGAAAAAGTCACAGGGTGAAAGTAATATTTACTGACTCTTCCGTTCACTGCAGAAAAAAAAATTCTGAAAAAAGAGAACGAATTCCTCAGTTTACGACAGACACTTGTTGCATATTTCTGAATAAGTAAATGTCCTATATTTTACATTATATTCTCCATTATCTATCGTTTATTCCAGGGTTGTGAGGGTGAGGTGAACAGTTGGCCTGATGACAAACAACCATTCATATCAGTTTAAAATGTCCAATCAGCCTGATCCACCACACACAGGGCGAACATGTCAACTCCCAACAGAAAACAACTGAGACCAAACCAGCGAAGCAGTGATGTGTCCTAACAACATTTGCCACCAGGCGGAACATTTGCGGATAAATGTGGAGATAAATCAGTTGACACACCTCCTCACAGACAGAAGTGACGCTTAACTCTGACTTGTTGCCAACAAAACAACATGATGTCACTGAAATGGCTTCTTTTGTGCAATCTAATACCACTGCAGTATTTAAAGTATTATACCATTTACTACTGGGTACTTTATGTAAAAGGCTGAAATGTTTCTCTTGATGAATTTTATTTCATGGTTAAATGACCAAAGAGTTCCTGGGTGTTAAAACGTGCTGTTCCCTGTGGTTAGGCAGACCAACAGTAAACACTACACAATGTTCACTCATACGCAATAATGGGATTTTACTCATGAAATTATATATATATATATATATATATATATATTTAAAAATACTCTATAGTTTCTTATTTAAATTTTTATAATTTTTTTTATAAATAATTACAATTTTAATGTTGACAGTCGTTGGTTTCAGTGGTCGGGATTCGTTTTCTCCTCTTTAGTCATTTTTCTTGGGAAAATCCATTTTTTATCTTTTAAGAAATTATTCATTGCTTTGTGATTCTTTCCCCACAGTCCTGAAATTGGTCACATTCTGGTTCTTCTCCCACTCTGACTGACTTAACCAGCTAGTACTTGGCTGTCAATTTCTCCCTCTCACATTGTGAGTAATGTGTATTCTGCCAATGTCACGTCTCCTTTTTGCTAGAAACCAAAATGTCTGAGTCAAATCACTGATTAAAAAATAAAAACACTGCTGTCTGTGTACACTGCAATAGTAATGTGTGGAGAGTTGGATTTCACACAGTTGGGGATACCATTACAGAATATTAGTGTGAATTATATTTCAGTCTCCCAAGTGGATTTTTTCCCCCAACAAAAGCAGAGAATGGGCTTTAAGATGTGCAGTTCAATTTAACAGCACTTTAACAAAGCCACAGGAGGAATTTTCTTCAGATATAAATGTGCAGTTACCCTCGGTCATGTATTGTTGCACTTTGTAGATCCCACAGGCGTGAACAACCACAGATAAGACGGCGCAGTCGGACTGAATAAAAAGAGGACATGGTCCACACTCACACTCCGAGTGATCCCACAGGACACGTCGCACTGAGGATGAGAATAAATTTCCTACACGAGCCGAGGACTTGTGGATAAATCTGAAGATAAATCAGTTGACACACCTCCTCACAGCGAATAGGTGTCGCTGTCAGAAAGACTGAATCAGGGGCAGCTATCGCACTTTTCAGTATTAGAAAGGTGTGGTCTACTGTGTCAACGTCTGTCTAAAAAAACCCTGCAGGATTTGATGCATCAGCTGCCTAGAATGTGTCGTTACTCAAGACGACTGATCCTGTCAGGGGGAGCTGAGCCAGTGAAACCAGAGTGGAATGTTCAAAGACCATGCTGTGAGGAAGGCAGTGGTTTTCTCTGGGATATGAAGCAGAAAAGAGAATTCTGAAGATGAATCTCCTGGTTACACAACACTGCGTTCCCGTGGTTAATGGAGCAGCAGATATTTTGTCTCTGGAACAAAGTAAATGTCACAGTAAATTTCTAACACCATAAGTTTAATTAAATATCTGTAAGAATTATGAGATTACACGGCTTTACCACAGTATTTCATTACAATTTTACAGTGCGCTGTTGTAAATGATGCTCAGTTTTCAAGGGTAATGAACAGGCTACAAATTGGTGGCATATATATTTTTTTGTCTAAAATGGGTAATATGGTGCTATAATCTCACTTAAAAGACCTCCCCAACAAGAACACCATCATCCACAACCACCTCCTCTCCTTCATTACACACAATGCAAGATTTATCAATTAGCCTGATCCGCTTCACATGCAGCTTCCACTGTTACGCACTGAAGATGACAAACAAAGAAACAATGCTGCGCCTCCTGCTTCTCCCCTCTGACTGATGCAATCCACTGCACATCATTTTCAGCTACTTCCCTGTGACCGTGAGTGAATTCACTCAGTGAGACTTGAACCTCATTTACACGCAACTCAGTGACGTCAACTTCAACATTTCTGACACAGATTTGGAAGAAGAGAGCTTATCACATTTTACCTGATCATCATGCAAGAGAAATCAGACGTAGCAGTTCAACATCAGCTGTTTTATAAGCCTGACATAGAGGTTGTCCTTATTTGAAGCATGTAGCAAAAATAGTCAGCAGTCAGTTTCTAAATTAGGATATATTTCCTTGTCTGCAGGTTCTCTTCAAGTGGGTTCTCTAATCACAAATGCAGCCCTTGGTTTGGGTCAAGGTTGGTCCTATCTTTATATATGGTTCATTCATTATCACTTCAGAGTAGTAGATTAGTAGATAGAAGTGACACAATGTGGAGACATTTGCATTGTTTGTGTTTTTTTCTGTAATATTACAAGTAAAACAACAACATCCTTTGTATAATTCAGTAAAATATCAGACAATGCATTATCGACTAAATTTATAGTTTGAATTGTTTGTGTGGTTGAAGTAGTGTTAAACCGATTGCTTTTCATAGTTGCAGGCTTATGCTCAGGCTCAACGTAGGCTTTGGTTTTCTTACCGCTGTCCACCATGTCCCTGGGTTGTCCAGTCCACAGTTGTCGCTGTACTCCAGGCAGCAGGAGTCTGGAACTCTGGTGGCATTATAGACTTCAAACCAGTCTGTGAGGTTGGTGACTCCACAGCAGCGGAACTGCAGCAGAGAGCAGGCAAAGAGTGAAACCCCAGTGGACAAAAAAATCCATTACAGCACAAATTATTTCTTTTTTTTGAGCCAATGTTATTCATATGTTTAAGGAAGCTTTTGTCCAATGGTCAGTCCACCTGCCTGACGGCCCTGATATGAATTTCTTACTCATCTGCTTCTTCCTACCTGCATCTTCCCCCTCTGTGATTAGTATAGAGTCTTGATAAAGGATCATGACTCTTCCCACAGTTCCATTCATCAGTGTTCTTCATGAAAAGATTAAGTTCCCCCTGAGGTTCTGTGCATTCGACAGACTTTAATTCCGCACAGGAACAATGCAGCCTTCTCCTCTCCCTGCACAGCTCCGTGAACA